CAATTACATCACCCCTTACATCTGGCCACCTAATTCCTCAGACTGCAACCCCCTTGATTATTATGTTTGGAGCGCAGAGAGTATACAAGAGGCGCCATAACCAAATATGTTTGCCTCTCCATCGGTGCTTTTGCTGGAAGTATAGATTTCAAAATTCTTCTGACGAGGGGTAAAATTTATGCCGAAGAAGTTTTGGGGAAATAAGCATGTAAAACTCTTGTAGGATTTCATACTTCAGACTGACAGACATAAATAACATTATCACCTTATCATAAAAGGCTGTTACAAGTGTCTGTTGATATACCTTGCATGTCACGGAGATCTCAACATTGCAGGGAAACTTAGAGTGGCAGATGTTGTATAAATTTGAAATATACATGCCACGGTCATGCCAATTGTCACTGGAGCACTAGAGTCGATTTAAAAAAAAACATCTAGAAACACTTTGATACCATCGAAAACACATCCAGCATAACAACGTTACGTAAGACAACATTGTTATGCACTGAAAATATCTTGCAGAAAGTGCTTTCTGTTTGAAGACTTGAAAGAAGAATCACTTAAATTTACTTCCGGTATTTGAAACCGTCAATGTGAAAATTTCAATAATAATAAAATGTTGAACAGTGGCAGAGCTTTAGGCCCGGAAGTAAGAAGGTTGGTTTAAGTTTAGCAGGTAGTGGCCCTCAAGGGGATTTGGAAGTGACATCTAGAGACCATAATTAATGTGTTGGAGATATTTGAAGGTAAACCTGCAACTGAGCCCAACCTGCAAGGTTATGGCGCTATGCTTATCAGAATCTCTCACAACATCAGCAACATTTGGCTGTTATACATGTGCCTGGTAGACCCTTATCAAACTGGATATTAATAAGGTGAGTTGTTTTCTTTAAAGGACACCCATTTTTAACAGATATACTCAAAATGCTTATCGGAAACTAAGACATTCTACGTGTAGTGGTTCCGAGGTAATCACCAATACAGAGTTCAACTACAGCGAGTTTTCACTGGCTGCAAGATAAATCTCCACTTAGGATTGAAATATTGTCAGTAGATCAATGGAGGTAGTAAAACGGCATCACCCAGTTCGGTGCTTCCTCGACTGAATCAAAAGTCGCCTGTCGGTGATTAAGGCGAGCCTTCATCACCTGTAGTCCGAAGGAAGGGATTTGCTCGGCCAACTTCGCCTAATATACGCTACACATGCATGCTTAGGTGTCCGGTTACATATCATCGCTATTCACGTCCGGTCAACGGAGTGAAGACGATGATGATAGATATGCAATGGGGAAAGATAACGCTTAAATTAGATGTTAGTTGGTTGTTTTTGTTTAGCGACATATCGACCTCTATAGGTCATTTAATGCCGGAATAGACATATTTATAAGTCTTACTAATTAAACCGTAGTTGGTGTTATAAAATAAAATAAGACATATCTCGGCTGATTTGCCGGCAAATAAACTAACATACACAAGAGCAAGAGCCGGATGTGAACGGGACAAGGCCCCGTCACAAAATGACCATTATCGTCGTTTACGCATAGGCCCGGCGCATGAGTTCCGGTCGAAAAATAAAATATTTTAAAGTGTTTCTATTTTTCGACCAATAAAAATGCTTCCTTCCTAACTATACTCGCGTCGTTTTTCGAGCCTGTTAAGCCATAAAAAAAACGCCATAAAAGGGGGTCACACGGGGAAGTACGACAGCAGTCAACAGGAGGCCAGGAAAGAGACCTGTCACGGTCAGTCAGCAGCAGTCAGCAGGAGGAGCGCCACGCCAACCGGTGAGAACTACTATGAGAGATCAACCAAGATCTTATAAAATATACCACAAGGTATCTGTCCCAAAACCACATTGAAATAAATCCTATTGAAATAAATCACGTAAATCTATTTCTGCTGTTGTCGTATTTCTTTCTTGCAACCATACGCTTATCTATAACATTGGGGAGAAGTGGTGGATTCCCGAGGGTATTAGTGCGTAAGAGAACATAACGAACCCGACTGGAATTGGAACTCGGCTCTCCAATTAATAATTTCGAGCCATTATCGCTCACATCCAAGCTTACATCACCTGGTTACAAAAGCTACATGGGACACTTCAAAACTCACCCCAACAAGGGGGTGTTCAAATACTCTTCGATTAACAATTCCGAGCCATTATCCATTACACCACTTGCAAATCCAAGCTTACAGCATCTGGTATTTCAAGCAGTCACCCATCTAGGTACTGACCAGGCCTGACGTTGCTTAACTTAATCACCGATTATCTATTCCGAATCATTATCCATTACACCACTTGCAGATCCAAGCTTACAGCATCTGGTATTTCAAGCAGTCACCCATCTAGGTACTGACCAGGCCTGACGTTGCTTAACTTAATCACCGATTACCTATTCCGAATCATTATCCATTAAACAACTTGCAAATCCAAGCTTACAGCACCTGGTTTTTCCAAGCGGTTACCCATCTAGGTACTGACTAGGCTCGACGTTGCTTAACTTCGGTTATCGTACAGGAACCAGTGTTTGAACGAGATGTGGCTGTAAGTCCGTTTAAATTGGACAGATGGAATTCTTTAGCCTGCTGACGATATTCAGTCAACCCCCCACGAGGGTGTCATGTGGCACAAGGCCTTTTTAACGTGAGCATTCTGAGCCCGTAGGCTCGGCCAAAAATATGCCCATTGAACCCGTATAAACGGGTTCAGGGCCGGTTTTACCTCCCCGAAAGAGACTCCGCCCTTCGGCGTAGCCTCCTTCGGGTTCCTCCCGTTCGTAGGAAAAGAGTACAACCGAACAGTCGCTAAGAAAGTACTGGGTCGACTGACTGACTATGAAAGAGAAGGAAAATTTTGATTTCAAAACTCCGCTGTTCTGCTGCCATACCCAATCATGGCAAAGGCCCGGGAGTAAATACTGTAAACGGGGCCGGATTATCCTTTAGGCTGCAGCCAAACTTTTATGAAGCAATGAATTTAATTTTCTAGATGTTACAAGTTCTAAATAGTTTCATAAACTGAAATTATATTAATATGACGAACTCATTTATTTTCATTGTTCTAATGTTAGTTATAATAATTTGTATCTTTACTACGGTTAGGTTGAAATACGTACTAAGTTGTTTTACAATAAATAGTAAAATAGTGATATTCCTTAAAGAATATTAACTACAGAAGGACTTAAAATTGATTGCTGCATTTAAGTATTGCAATAATATTTAAGCTTACCTTTTAAAAGTTCAACGATAATTCTTCTATCGTCACTTAATTTAAAAACAATTTGATGTACGTAGGTCCTTATGTTCCGTACAAACAATTATTTTTATTTCATGGCTGACTTTCGTTGGATTTCGGAATTTCGATTATTCCCAAATTTATTTCCAAGTTATAAAAACTGTTATCGAAGAAAATATTTGTCACAAAAAAAAAAAAAAGAAAAATCCCCCCCCCCAAAAAAAAATCAAAAAAAAATCACCGAAAACAATCGTAGTAATGAAAACTTGGCAATCCAAAATTTCAGGATTGCAGGTCCACATCCGGCCCAGAATGTTTTTAATTTGCTCACGGTGTCGGCCTGATTCCAAAATAGTATGATATGTTTAGTTAGGGCCTCTACGAGTAAAGTTGAAAAAGTATGACACAGTGACACACTGATATTCGCATTTATTATATAGAAGATGAGCTATTGAGAGTTGTGTCCCTTTAATTGAAAAAGTGTGACACATTGACATTTTCATTTATTATATAGATGACAAACAAAATATAGCTATTCTACCTTATTTAAAGAATTTACAATAATTTTAATTCAAGTTATGTAAATGTCGCTAAAATATATTACGATTAACAAATATTCAAGACGGGTTCGGGAGAGATAGGTGGTGGCTGCGTTGTAGGCGGACCCCATGATTTCATTAGACTAGAGGCTCCAAAAGTCAAAATCTACCTGTGAATAATGACAACTCTTGATTTTGTGAACGATTTAAAAAAATTTCCTTTTTTCGGTATTTTCGATTTCTTCGCTTCTCAGTGTTCCAATGAACGTCTATGATTATCCGAAGAGAATACAAAATGTGCCATGATGTGAACTTCCGGTTTCTTATGTAGTCGTTTTGATCCTCACATTGTGCTTCATACTTGAAAATTTGTGTCAAACTACGACTTATAAATACTATTATTGATAGCCCATCCTGTCCAGGCCTACACCAAAGAGAGGATCCTCCAGCGTCGATTGGAAAAGCTGACGCTGTTGACAACACTAACCAGCGAAGTCACGGAATCTCTCCAGACCAATGGATGCCCCACGCACACAATGGAATAATGTCCGAGTAATTTCAAATAATGAAAATAATAATGCTATCTTAATGATACCTATACGACTAAACAGAACCAAGATAAATCCAGACTAATAAAATAAAATTTACAGTGTCCGTCTAATAAAATACATTATTTTTGTAGTCTAGACAGTTGTGAACCACGCACAATACACGCTTCGGCGATCATGTATATTTCGATACATGACTGACGAGACATTTTTTTTCCTGTAGTAGGTTGCTATTTCTTTCTACAGACCAATTGCCATCCAATGCTATAGAAGGTTGCTATTTACCCATGCAAAGCATTGGATGGCGAACTCAGCTTGGTCAATGTAGAAAGTTATGTTTTTAAAATCTGATAGGGATGTCAAAAATACAATTTTCTTTTTTATCATTGGGGTTGGGTGTTCGCGCTTTTTTCAAAATGTCCGTTAGTTGATTGTTTTTGTTTAGCGGAATATCAATCTCTGTGGGCTAATGCCGAAATCTAAATATTTTGTACGCAATTTTATTTTATTTATTTATTTTTTTTTTTTTTAGATAATAATGGTTTTACTGATGCAAGTCTTACTAATTAATTCATAGCTGGGGGAGAGAAGATGTGGATTTAACTTTACGCAATACCTTTCACATAAGTGAATACAAGGAACCCTACGGAAATTAACGATTCCGAGCCATTATCATTAACGCCACCTGGTATTCTCAAGCGGTCATCCATCTCGGTGCTGACCAGGCTCTACGTTGTTTAACTTCAGTGATCATACGAGAACTGGTGTTTCAACGCGATGTGGCCGTAAGTCGCAAAAGTATTTCGACTGGAGAAATAAAAATAACACTTCTGATTTAGAAAAAGATTCTATTTTGATTGAACACCAGCAACCACACAGAAAAGAGGTAGCGTCTTCGAATCTTCCCTTGAATTCTGTCGCACTTGCTTACCTCTCTGAATACCTGGTTAATTTTGCGTTTTAGGTGTTAAAGCCGTGTAATCCTGACATATACTCAAATAACATGTCCAGATTACGTGCTTTGCTTTCATTCAATCATGTGTAAAAATGAATGATTAATATTAAATTTCCATGAAATTGCAACTACTGTGATTAAAGAACCATTTTATTTTTATTTGATACGACTATATTACGTTTTATATTTCAAATTCAGCTTTGTTGTATAACTTATGAGGAAATACTAAAACCAGTTTCGCCTGAATTTGCACGATTATATGGTACTAGCAGCATGTCTCGTGCTTGATTCAAAAATCGTACGACTCATACAGCAATCGCTATCACTTGACTTAAAATATTTTTGCACTTCCTTGCCTTTAAAGGAGTGCCCTTTGCCGTGCTGATGTTGCTACATGCCTTACTTCTTGCCTATCTCAAACTGTGAATTTTTTCTAAACTCTATACTAAACATTAAGTCTGTTACGAAAAAGAACTAAACAAAATGAACACAAAACGATCAGCTTTAAAAAAAGGACTCGTAACTGGAAAAACCGAATGAAAAAAAGAATGTTAACAACAAATACTTTTTTCACACCCAACCGAGTTCTGCGGAATCAGAATCAACGTTGAGTTTAAGCAAGCGAATGAGCCAATTGGAGTAAAGTGTCATGCAGATTTAAATTTTTCCCACTTGTGACGAATGCAGCTATTTTTTTTGCATGCTAGCAGGCTAGTTAATATTCGTGTCAGACAGCTGTTGGCTCTGACGCTGGCCAATAGAATCTTCCTGCCTATTCGTGGCAGCCAGCTATAGGCTCTCACTCTATCCAGTAGAAAATGGCCGCTAACTACATGAAAACTGCCGTAGAAGCATGAAAACATCGATTATTTCCACTATCGATGGGAGTTGGGAAATGCAAAGTCGGTCTTGGCCTTCCCGCTAAATTGGAGCATATGCATGTAAATTTTGGTGCAAATCCGTCGAAAATTGCGGCCGTGCATTCGTCACACACACACACACACACACACACACACACACACACACACGCACGCACGCACACACACACACACACACACACACACACACACCCTGCCTTTTATAGATAGAGATACAGTATACATTGTTTTTTTAATATAAAGTTGATTGACTCATGACAATATGAATGGCTAATTAAACCTTTAGAAATATAACAAATTTTTAACACGACAATTTTTACGTCACTTAAAAATAACAGATTTTTTTTTTTTTTGCAAAAACGTTATGCTGTTAAACACTCAGTACTAATGATCTACGAGACTGACATATGTGGCTTTGTTCTGTATGAAGTTAAACGAGTTATTCGGCGAGGGTTAACAGATAAGAATCTAGTCCCGTGCTCAGGGCCGGATTTAAGGTCTTAAGAGGCCCCTGGGCTAATAAAATTTGGAAGCCCGTATGTTCGCTACCAGTGTATATAAAAAAAAGACGTTTGGCGTTTAAAAATAAAATAAAATAAAAAAAAATCTGAGTAAAACTAAAAAGCTACATTTGAATTGATTGGTTTGTTTTCTACGTTTAACAGCATAACGTTTTTTGCAAAAAAAAAAAAAAAAAAAAAAAATCAGTTATTTTAAGTGAGGTAAAAATTCTCGTGTTAAAATACGGGTTATTTAAGACCAGAAAATATTTTTAGATTGTAAGAATATTTTTGGAGATAACAATGATTTAGTAATACAAGTCTTAATAATTTACACAGCTGGGAGATAAGAAGTGGATCCATACCTTTCCAAAAGGTATTTGCGCGTAAGTGAATATAACGAACTCAACTGGAATTGGAACACGACGCTCCGATTAATAATTCCGAGCCATTATTCCTCACATCTAAATTTAAATCACCTGATTAAAAAAGCTACATGAAATATATATATATATATATATATATATATATATGTGTGTGTGTGTGTGTGTGTGTGTGTGTGTGTGTGTGTGTGTGTGTGTGTGAAAATATATAGAAAATAGGAAAGAACTGGTTTGGTAAATAATCCAAAGTTCTTTAGTATTTTTGTTATTATTTTTACAAAACAGTGATCGATACAAATGTAGAGCATAAATATAATTATTTATTTAAAAATATGATTCCAACACGCTACATAAGAGTTCTCATGTTTCAAAACAAGAGTCTAAAACTTCAATATAATTATTTGAATTAAATTGAATTAAAGTAAGCTCTGTTCTATCTTCAAGCGAAATTTTTTTTTTTAGCTTACTTTAATTCAATTTAATAAATATGTCGTTTATTTTTGTACGTACTGTCGGATCTATATCCATATATTTGCTTATATATATATATATATATATATATATATATATATAATCGAATTCGGTGAAGGAATTCATTTCTCCAGTTTCTTTCTTAGATATATTTTTTTAAATCAATTCACCCCAAGCAAAGCATTAATGCCACTAAGACATAAGGGACTAAAAGGATTGAAAGAGAAAGAAATGATTTTTGAAGGAACCGGAAAACGAACCCTAAGCAGGAAGCTAGTGATAAACCTCTACTCCTGTTCAAAGGATCGGTGAGAAGTGTGAAGGGTACGATAGACAAATCTACTTCTATTCCGTAAAAAAAAAAAAATTAAATTAAATTTCAGAAGAAGAGTATTCCGTTTATGAAAATGCTGAAAAATGTGACCATGTCAGAGTGAGAAAAGCTTGAAGGACATTTTGTGTTGCTCGCTGGCTATGAATTTTTTTTTAATAGTTTCTTTTTTGTAAATAAATTTTTGTCATTTTTACATGAAAATACTTTATTTCTTACATTTTTCGTTACATTTATTTTCTTCATCTAAAAACAAAGATTTCTCAATTTTTCTTCTTTTTTTTTTATCTACAACATATTTTCTTTGTTTTTGACACCATCTGCCTCTTTTTTTTATCTTCTTCGTTTCATTGTCACTTTCTCATCACCCTTTCTTTTTTCCTTTCTATTTTGTTATTTCTATATCCAATGAAAATCTTCATGCATGAAAGACTAGGCACCTCAGGAGATATTGACTTAAACGTCCATTGCAGATGACAATTTCACTGAGCAATTACAGTTCGACCTCCCCACCACCCTTTACTGGCATCTTCATGTTTGCTGTGATAAATGCCTTATAAAAGAACCGGGATGTTGGTTAGAGTTCAACCTAGCCTCCATGAACTTAGGAATAGCTAAACGTGATGTTAAAATGTTCAATGCTATAATTATTTTTGTTTTTAAGTCTTTTAAATTCCTTTTATTATATATAGTATCTTTCTTGTGTTAGTATTTAATTGTAGTTTTTCGCATCAGTGGAAAAGCATTAATAACTGATTATGCGAAGAACAAAAGATGAAGGTGACAATATTAATAGAAACGATGTTAACACTCAGAGGAAATATGTAGAATTATTAAAATAAAAAAAAGGAAAAGTATTCTTCAAATCACGTGGTGCCACGATTTCACCGAATCATATTCTTTTCTCCATACCGCCCACGTCTTTTTTCTTTCTATTTTCTTGTTCTCAGAATTGATCAGTTCTTTGTTTGAAAGGCCATATCACGTTAAACACCGGCTCCCGTGCGATCACCGAAGTTGAGCTACGTCAGGCCTGGTCAGTAACTAGATGGGCGACCACTTGGAATACGGGGTTGGATGTCTGGGTGGTTTAATAGATAATAGCTTCCGTATTTGACGGCGTATAAGACGCAACCCAATTTCAGCAGGGAAAATCAGGAAAAAAGTTGTAAAATTATTTGTAAATGGTACAGCTTAGGCTATATTTATGGGGTATTATTTTAATTAAACAAGCCATGCTTATAATTAACCGAAAAATAATAGGAAAAAAGAACACGGCCCTATAAAAACTTTATTATGTCCTAAGGTAAGAAAACAAAATAAGAATCAAGCATTTATTACAAATGAGCAAAACAGTACAGTTAGCATTAAAATTTTATTCATCTTCAAATCCATAAAATTTGTCGTCTTTGTTATCAAAATTCTGATAGTCATTTTCAATACTACTATCATCGTCGTTAAATAATTCTCCACCTTCCCTTCCATTGAGACCATTGCTAATGCCACACTTTTAAAAAAATTTCACAACAATTTCCTAAGCTTGCTTCATCCATTCGCAGACTTGTGCAATGCTGGGTCTTTTTATTCTTCCTGTAAGTGTAAGGTCATGATCAGGCATTGCCATCCATGTGTTCCATTGCTCCTTCATGTTTAAGTCTAAGCTAATAGGATTTGCCAGTAGTTAATTTCGGCCGACTATCGCGAATTTTAAACCTGCATATGACGCAGGGGAATTTTTAAGCCTACATAAGACGCAAGGGAATTTTAAAAGATATTTTTATTAAAAAAAAAAAAAAATAGTGCGCCTTATATACCGTCAAATACGGTAATTGTTAATCGGAGAGCTGAGTTCCAATTATTGTTGGGTTCGTTATATTCACTTTGGGGGAACGTATGAATCCACCTATTCTCTTCCTGCTATGGGTTAATTAGTAAGTCTTGTATCACTATACCGTTATTTTATAAAAAAAAATAATTAAAAGAAATCCCTAAATATTTTACAATCTAAAAATCTGTTTTGAAATAATCTGAAAAGGGTTGATAAAACACAGAAAATGAATCAATCAATAACTCAATTTTATCTAGATTCTGAATTTTTAGTTTCAGTTACAGATAATTTGTTCTTTTTTGTTTTATCAACAATCCACTTCGTTCGTTCCGGTAAAGGCGTGTGAAACCGAAACACACATGTTACCAGTTTTCCCTATCAAGTAATAATTATCAACATATTGTAGATTGTGATGTGATTAATATCTTTGCTTACTCCCGAGTACTTTGGTGTGGATTGCTTTCCACTAATGACTTTATCATCAAAGTTCGATGAACATTCCGGTCTGGGTTCATCTTCCAACAACGTTTTTCCAGAATTAAATTTTGCAAGCCATTGTCCCACTTGCCGGTCAGCTATGACTCCTTAACGATAAACACTACATATTTTTTTCTAGATGTCTCCATAGCGTTACCCGCTTGCTTGAACTCTCGTAACATTATGTGATATGGACACTTCGAAGTTAGCAAGCTTGTCTCGTTAGAACAATTACGACTGAATAGTGAGTTCGATCCTTACTGGTTGTAAAAATTGATATGTGCTCGTTTATCTGGCGGGGACACTATAAAAATCCAAAAAAAAATTAGCACGTCTTTTATTCTAGAACACCCGCCTATCGTTAGTTATAAAAGACGCCGCCTGTTGACAATGGCGGAAATGAGTGTTGTCTGTACAAGAAGAGGAAAAGTAGGAGGAGGATCTACATAATGGGTATTCCTTCTATCAGAAGCCTAGACTTTTTGTAAATTTTACAGTTAACTGCGTCTACTTGGTGATAAGCCGCAACAACGGACTTTGTTGCATCTCTAAACTACCGGCTGCATTTAGTCGCTATCGTCGGTCGACCACGGGTAATCACCTGTGACCAATAGTTGCTTGAAAACGCAACAAGGACGTCCTAAACTATGTCGGAAGAGGGGAAAATTATCGAAAAGTTGCTACGGTAACAAACCGGGTTTAAGTCAAAGGTTCGAGATAGAGTCAAGAGATAGAGGGATTGAAGTATTTGAGGAACCTGACGAAGGATGGAACACAGGGATTGTATTGAAACGTAGTTATGCCGCCTAGACGAGTTAGAAGGCGAGATAGCTACGGTTTGCCTTGAGACTACAGGAAGCTGGGAGGAAACAAGATTGGAGATTCAGAATTCGAGTTTAGCACATCCGAATACCAGTTTGAAGGTGATTCTGAGGTCAGAAACTTGCGGAGGCTTCAAATCCCAACTCTTATGTCCCGACCACACCATTGAATGATGAGAGTACCCTCATTTAGTGGTAAGGCTAAGGAGGATAAATTTGCCTTCAAGAATTTTTTAGTACCTTTTGGGAATTACGTAGCCCGTGAAGGATCTAAAGCAGACAGATTCCAGTACCTTAAGAGCTGTTTAACAAATTATGCGCTTCTAATCAACATCGGTCAATCTGTGACCAGAATTATGAAGTCGCATTATCCTTACTCAATCAGGAATTTTTAGATGAGGGGTTCATTGTGGATGAGGCATTGAAACAGATTTTGGACTATAAGCCATCAAGATTCGAATATGTAAAAATGATATTAAATAGAATAAAAACCAACTTATGGGAATTAAGGAACAATTTTTCGCTAGATTTTCTTGAGGAAGATACTTCTGGGTTCATATTGATAAGTCAGATTGTATTTTCAAAACTACATGTAGAATTGCAAAGAGAACCTAATGCAGCAATATAATTCCAGTTATCCCACATTAAGCAATATTCTGCGGAGATATAACGACATTATTAAAACTTTGGTGAAACTAAGGATTGAACCTGCTCGTCCGGGCCCTTATAGAACTGGTAATTCCATGGACTTAAAACACAGATTAAAAAAAAAATCTGTTTTGGAGAGATTTTCCACTTGTATAAGGAGGGAGCTTGTTAAGCATTGTAAATTTTGTGTGTTAGATGGACACCGGAAGGAAGATTGTCTGCTATATCTTTCTCACCAGGACAGAGTGGAATAGTGCTATGCGCTTAAATTATGCCCCCTTTATGCAAGCGAGAATCATTCTGCTGTTAAATGCCCAGGCAAAAAGAGAAGATTTCTTTGACCCTGTAGACACGGTTTTTATTGTAGCCACCATTGTGCGTTGTGTCCGGATTTTGTACCTAGAATTTTGTTGTTAACTCTTGTATTAATAGAGATGTATTAGCCCTACATGTTGCCTATTTACAGTGTCTTACTGAAAAGAGGAAAAAAGATGGTGTAAATGCAACTGCCTATTATACTCTGGAAGCCAAAGGTCGTATTTTTCCAGTGAGATTTTGGAATCTCTTAAATGTGGCTCTCTTGCAGCTACTGGCGTTGAATATGCTACCAGTACGTACCTGGGTACCCAACAAAAACATTTAGGGAAGTGGAATTGGGTCCGGGTTCGACGATACTCCTCCCTGTGTTAATTGACCATCTATTAAGCATGAATCTGGAGTTCTCAAACTTTGGTCAGGTTATTGAGAATCTAAAGGCTACTCTCTTTCCGCTGATGTTGAAAGTGATTCACGTGTTGTGAACATTCAGGGTTTCTTTGGTGTTGATCAAACCCTTGAATTTGATCAAGTGTCTTCATGATTCTGCGTGGGAAACTACCAAGGATATTATCCCCCTTTGGAAACAGAATACATTTTTTGTATCCTCACCAGATTGTCCTGGAGAATTTGCGTTAAACACCACGGATTATAAAATAGGGGATTCCCACAATGTTTTCCTGTCCTCCTTCTGAAGTGAATTTTGTACTGGAGACAAGACATTCTTATGCTGACCCTTTAGGGACTCATTTAAGGAATGTTCTGGCCGTGGAACGAGGCAACTGAACAATTGTTTTCTATCGAGACTCTGGGACTTACTGAGGAAAAGGACCTTTTTGAGTACGATCAGAAAAAAAGATTAGAGAATTCAAAGAGTTCATTGTCTTTAAAAACAAATGTTATTACTCAGGGGTCGATGGGAGAGACGACCGGTGTTTTCGTCTGACGAAATAGGCTATTCCCCATATGAAGTGATTTTGGATTTCATTGTTTATTAATTATTTGCTCTATAATAATAAATACATTGAGCTCTTTTTGTGGATCAGTTTTAATATTTTATATTACTAGGATCCACTTGGATTATATACAAACGGGTATGTTCTTACTATATATATATATATATATATATATATATATATATATATATATATATATATATATATATATATATATATAAAGAACAGCAAGATATATAATCCGGTGTTCTTATAGATATTTTTATTTTTACAAAATAGTGCTCAATGTAAATTTACAGAGCATTAATATTATAAATTAATTGATTTAAAATAAGGGTTTTTTTTGCTACACAGTTCTAACCATGTTTCAAAAATGGAAGCTAAAAGCCACGAATTTAATTTTTGCAATTAAATTTAAGACATTAGTTCCATTTCATCCTCAAGCGAATTTTGGAGTAACTTTACTTTTAAGTTACTCCAAAATGCTTGAGGAGGAAATGGAACTAATGTCTTTAATTTAATTACAAAATTAAATTCGGGACTTTTAGCTTCCATTTTTGAAACATAGTTAGAACTGTGTAGCGAAAAAAAAACTATATTTTAAATCAATTAATTTATAATATATATATATATATATATATATATATATATATATATATATATATATATATATATATATGTGTGTGTGTATGAATAAGACAGAAGCTGTATTTGATATTACGCACTTTTATCCATAAATCAAATGTATATTCTTTATTACTAAAAATATTATTTAGTGCATACACATGTTTGAATAGATATATTACATTTTTTTAAAAAGTAATTTCAGTGTCGACCGTCCCAGATATATAAAGTCTTATTGAATAAAATATACCTCACCACATGAATTTAGCCAGATGTTCTTTACATTTTCTGCATGTCGATACTCAGTTTCAATGTTTATAACTATATACACTGTCTCCTATAACGAGCTCTTTCCCGACAGATATATTAGATATCATTTGTACAGTGTATACGAATGCTGTAAA